GGGGTGTGGTAGGGAAATTGCATGAATATGTCCATTAGCCCCATAGTATGACTGCCTTTACTACCGGAATTTTCCGCAATTTCCCCTTGGCACTCATTGTTTGTTTTAAAAGTATGCCAGGCGGGTGCGCATAGTTTCAGTTTTCATTCAATCGAATTGTTGCCTGCGGCTATAGAAAAAAAGGTGCGTAATTAAAACGGTGCCCGGCGAAAGACAATTAAATGCATGCCGCGCACTGTCGAACAAAAGATGAGCGATGAGTTTGCGTTTAATTACGTGGACAGGCGGCGGAGATTTTAATTTATGATGCGTGAATTTGAGCTGAATGAGGTAGAGCATGAGGCAGACGCTTTTCCTTGCTGGCAAAGGAAGTGCGGAAATTGAATTCTAAAATATTTATAGCTCTCCACTTTTGGCATACTTTTCGGGGGGCCGAGGAGAGTGATTTATGCAGTGCTCAGCAGCAAATTGCAAATGAAACGCAATGAAACGAATCGAAATGGAATGAATTACTACTTATGCATGCATGTTCGCCACATAAACACACATCTATCCGCCAAATAAATATATATATATATATGTTCCAACCAGAGCTTGTTCATAGCCCATCAAATCGGAGACCCACTTATTAGTCTGGCTGCTGGACACATGTTACACGATGCTGAGCCATAGATTTATGGCTGGCAATCATCGGGATTTGCAAGAGGACTAGGATCGTGGACATGGAGCAACTGCTGCCCTGACATTGACTATTGAAAGTCAATTTCGGGTGCGTGCCACACGCTCATTTGTCCAGTTTATGGCCGACATCATTTGTTTTGGCATTTTTGCCAATGAGGCGCAAACGCCTTTTATGCGTTCCAATAAATTCTCGCTTCCGGCCTCCGAAAGCCTCTCATATCCTGTCCGCCTCTCGCCTATTCCTAATACCTGTTTATTGTTGCAGTTTCACAGGGAACGCTGTGTGTTTACAAGGTTGCTGATGCTGCATTACAAATGACTCTCGGCCGTTTCAAAGTTGAAAGTTTAATTTGCTGCCTAGCTGGGCAATTTAACTGCCAGGGGTCAGCGTTGCATGGCCAGCTTAAGTTTACATTTCGTTGGAATTCCCCATCGAGTGTTTTAAAGAGTCTTGTACTTATGTAATAATCACCTCTTTTAAGTGCTTGCCAATTAATCACGTGACTAATTATTGAAACTTCCAAGGAAGTAAATATGTTTAGTGCAGCCTAAGGAGAAATACCGATTTAATAATGAAGAAATTTATTCCTTCGGGCTCTTAGTGCAAATTTTATGAGTAATTATTACTGCAAGCTTAAAATAATGTGTAGAACATGGCTTAAATTTGAGTTCAGCAAGCGATTTTCCTGTTTTTAATGTCTTCTCATACAGGAAAATCAATAAGCAACTTAAGCCATTTTAACCTCAGCAGAAACTAAATATTATTTGATGTCCTTTCCATAGACTCTCGCTTTCGGTTTGGCCTCATGAAAATTTATGAACTCTGACATTTTACAATACTCTATTAAGTGCTGCCAAGCCAACAGAAACAGAAAGCCGAAAAGGGGTGGACCAAATAATCAAATTGCAGTTTCCAGCTGTCATACTCACAGTCCTCGCCCAGTTTTTACGTTCGGTGTTTTTGGGTATTTTTCGGAAATAACCAGACAGACCGGCAAAAACACAGAGTATGGCAAAAAATCTGTTAGAAATCCTATTTATATTTCGAAACAATAACCATTCAATTCCATCTAACGACTAGGGCCCTGGCCACCGGCGAGCATAACGAACCAATTGAGCTGGCCACGACCCTCGAGGGGGCGTTATGCGGAAGTTGGGGATTTTTGGGGCGTGGCATTTATTAGCAATTGCTATGACGGCGACGACGGTGGCGCCTTCTGTGAAAAATTCTAACCAGCCTTTAAAGCGGAAGCATTGGCAATGGCCGGCAGGACATGGGCGGTAGACGACCAACGGGACACCACAGGCGCGACGACACAAACAAAACGTGATTCGCATACAAATAAACAAGGATACAAAGGATACAGAGGATTCCTCCACCACCTCCACACACACACACACACACACAAAGATGACCCTTTGGGGCCTCGGAATTGAAACAAATGCCACAGTGCAGGGCGTGCCTATAAATTTTTCACCAAATACATTGGCCATAGGTGCAACTGCAACTGCAACTGCAACTGCAATTGCAATGTTCGGGTGGCTCTGTGGGCGGTGCTCTCAATACCAGCATGAGAGTGGGTGTGGTTCGGGGCTCAAAAGGTCCGTGAAATGGCCAACTGGGGCATTGTTTAGGGCCGGTGTTCAACTGCCCGCACATGGACAACATTTGAATGCAAAGCAGGCTCTGCCAGCGGTTGATGTCACTCCTCAATCGAGCACTGGGAGAAAATGGGAAAGCCTTTTGAAGTTTCACTGTTCTTAAAGTCAGAAAAGTGACATTAAAGAACATCTTTCATTATATATCTTCACAGCTTCATAATTTTCCTAACCAAAAATCGTTAAAGGTCGTTGAGTATAAAAATAAAACTACATTTTCTTTGCCTGCACTAGTCTGTCCACCAACTTGTCCCCAGAATCTCCTTGGCCAAGCTGCTTAGCTGCTGCCTGTCAATGGCAATTACGTCCGGGTGCAGAGCTCAAGTGGCAGCACAAATCACGGCGCGAAATGAAGAGTCAACTATCGACCTCTGGCTGCCAGACTGGGACGCTCCTCCACCTTCACGTTGATTTAGAGCTTGATGCATGTGCAGCAATTTGGGGCCGAGTACATGCTGATCATTTGTCCTCGGGAGTTTCAGGAAAGGAGTGATGCTTCTCCCTAAGTAAATCCCACTAGCCCGAGCGTGTGACGAGCATTTTGGCAAATAGTTTTGCCGACTGCTCACCTTGATGGCAAATCCCTTGGAACGGGCTGCCGAGGAATTCCATCAGCTGATCGATTAATCGTTGCCGGTGAAGCAAATACTTTCACCCGGGGAATGCCGCCTGTCAGTGGCGTGTAGAATGTGGATGTGGCCAGTAAAGGCAATGGGGATGCCATGCCCATGTCACGTTTTATGGCTGCCAGTGTGAGTTTATCTTTGGCCGACAGCGTCAACGTCTGTTGCGAGTCAACGGGTCCTGGCTCCCATGTCCTTGGCCATTTTGTTGCAATTTTTATGTGCTTTTATGCACTTGAGTTGGCACATCCTACATCCACCCACCTTCGACACTTGGCCATCTTACTGCCAAGCCATGCAATGCCATGCCTTGCCTTGCCTTGCCTTGCCACTTGGAAAAATTTCTCGCTCGCTAAATTGAGCAGGGAAAAATCCTTAATAGAACACCCAATTCAATGTAGGACGAATGGTGAAAAAAAAATCGCATTTCTCTGAGATTCCGTTTGAAGTGTGACAGACAGACAGAGAGCATTTAGCCTCATTAGGCGGGCTAGAACTTCAAACCAAAAAGTTGAGCAAATTTAATCAGGAAATCGTATGTAAATATTTGAACTTTAGGCTTTGGCCCTAATGAAGCATTCAGCCAATGGTAAAGGCCGGAAAATGTGCCAGAGTGCGGCGATAATCACTGCATATGAATTAAAAAGTTTTTCGGGTGGCGAATGTGAAAATATTTTGTAGTTTAAAGCAATTTGAAGTCATTTGTAGCCAATTTGCAAAATGTCTGGCGTAAGTGTACGTGTGTGTGTGTGTGTTGGCCAATGCAATTACAGTTGCTCACTCACAAACACACACTCACACACAAACATTTGTTTGGCAATGCGCTCAGCCATTCCGACGTTTCATCGTCACTCGTCCTTCTTTTTTTTTTGCCAGCTTTTCCACTCTTTTTTTTATCCTACAGCAAATGAGTCATGCTAATGGCAAACCATTAGCAAAAATGCCACTGTATGGGTGAGGGTGATAATTAAGTTGTGTTCATGTGTGTGTGTGTGAGTTGCTGTTCCACAGAGAAATGTGATTTTGAAGGCTGTTGTTAAATATTTAAATGTATTCCATGGACGAAAGCCATTCCCTTTGTTGCCACTAACATTTGCGTTTACGCCAAAGTCTAATTGCAACCTAAGCTCGAAATAAAATTACTTAAATTGCACACAGAAAAAGGGAAGCGAATCTTTCAAGGTGGCCAGCAAGTGGGCTAAACGTTGGGCCAGGACCTTGAAAGTCCATTATTTCTATTAAGGGAAACTCATAAGTCTAGGATTGATTGCAAAAAGTTATAATTCCAGAAAAGTTCAAGGCAATTTAAATGTTAATGCTGTTACCAAAAATAAAATAAAAAAGAAAAGGTCACAAGCCTTGAGTTACTTAGATGTAGATATTTGAAATTAGGTTGGCCCCGAAACTAATCGGTTACTAGCTTTGGGCCAGTACTAAAAGCCCACAATGACAGGCCACGAAAGAGCGACTTCCTATTTCATTTTCATTTACCTTTAATTGAGCTAATCAACACGCTAATTGCAAGCGCTATTAGCCGCCGGGTCAGGCCAAACTAAAGTGGTTGCGACAGGCAGATATTTTATTGTTATGCGTTTGCGCCGCAAAGCACTTCAAAATTGCACTTTAATGACTAATTTAGACACAGACGAGGACATATACACATATACATATATGCGAGAGGACAGGACATAAAAGGACGTTTCAGTGGCAGGACGTGAGTGCCGGCGGAAGTGGAAGTGCACACTTGAGCAATGGCGATACGACATTTCCTTAATGAAGGCGAGTGGCATAAAAGTTGATGGCCCTCCGGCTCATTTGGCCCTGCATATGCACTAAACTGAAGCGCAGAGAGGGTCAACGTGGCGTATGTGTAATTATAACAAGTTTGGACTTTTGACAGTCTCCCATTTTGTGCACTTGTCAGCTTTTTGTCATGTCTCCCCCCCCGCTTGAACTTTGTCACCCCGATGACCTGTCAATGTCGATAGTAGTTTCTACATATATAGTATATATATCTTAGTGCTGGGCGACACTCACCTGACACCAGCAGCTCACTGGTGCTGTTGACCAAATTGTCCATAATTGGCTGGAATGTGTAGAACGTCAGCGTTTCCAATTTGTTTGCCTGCACGTTGATGGACAGCAAGGCGGGTGTGCCCCGCAACAGACCATTGTCGATCTTCTTCAGCAGATTGTTTCGCAAATTCAAAGTTTTCAGTGTATTCAGACCGTCCAGAGCACGTTCGGAAATTCGCTGAAAAATAGGTTAAGGAGATTAGTTTTTAGTTTGTTCTTAAATTTGATTAAACCGAGTTTTTTGTTTGCGGGTGCAAAATGTTATTCTCACACAACGACCACATATATAGCATACACACACACACACACTCATACATACATAACACATATACACATATATGGGGCATATAGAAAAAACAGAAAAATATTTTCATGCTGCCATTTTTCCGCATTTCTGGGTATTATTTTCATTGTTTTTTCACAGAGTTTCGCTTTTCGTGTGGCATTGTTGTTGTCATTGTCTTCATTGTTTGTTTGCGAATTTATTTATGTGTATGTATATGCCACAAATACATGCACAATCACACCCATACACACACGATAGCTGGTGTTTTTTAACTTGTATGTCCCAATTCGTTTGTCTTGAATTTTATTATACGGAAAAAGTGTTTTCTGGTTTCTGCTTTGTTTGGCCGAACAACGAAAGTGAAGTCGCCGTATTTCCACCATTATTTAATATTCAATATGCTTTGTCTGGGGAAATGGAAAAATTATGCATATTAAATGTCGTGCGGCCAAGGCGGAGCTTCAAGCATGTGCCAAAGTTCTTCTTCTGTCTGCTACGGTGATGTGGCATTGAAAAATAACCCAAGCTCTCATGTTGCCAGCAATCTTTTCATGTTTGTTTATTTGCCCAGATGATTGACATAAAAACATATAGATTTTATTGCGATATTTTTGTTAGTTTGATGGGCGATCCTTCGATGCCTACGCGTCCAATTTATTAGCCTGACAACAGCGAAAAAATATAATTTACGAGCGATTTATGTGCGGATTAAGTAAACAAAGTTATGACAACGGGATTAATGGGTGGGTAGGGATTTGATGGAAGGTTGCCAGGGAATCGAAAGCTATACTCGTAAATATTCTTTTTAAATTTTGTAAAAAATTGTAGAATATATTATTAAGATATTTTGTATCCCCTTTGATTTGTGAGACTCTTAAGGGCAAAACTAAGCACTTTTTCAGACATTCTTAGTACTTTCTACCTTTACTTTGGTTAATTTTCCAACATTCTTATGTCATTACCTTTCTTAGTGCAGTAATGGCTCTGCCAACTATTTTAATCTACAAAGCAGAGTGAAAGCTGCTTAAAGCTGTTAATTTCTCGTACACTTTCACCTTAATGCACTCGGTTAGCCCCTTAGCCCCTTAACCCGATTATCTGTTTATCTTCATCCCTGGACCCCCGCACACACACATGCAGCGTTTTATGTTGTGTCAGACCTAAACCTTTCAACGGCAAATGATTTATGAAGTGAGCAAAAGAAAAAAAGATATATGTAAAAAAAACAGGAAAGTGGAAAAGCTGAGGAGGGGGAAGCCCAAGCCAAACATGCAACACAATTTGCTTTTATTGAAGGCGACAACGGCACCCGGACACCTAACAAAGTCGCTTTCGCTTAGAAAGAGAATTTTTTTTTTTTTGGGGGCCAGGCAAATCCCGGAATCTGGAATCCGGGGCTGGTGGAAACAAAGCGCAACGTGGGCGATAACAAGCCCAATCATTATGGCTATGACAATGCGGCAAAGGATCTGAGGAAAGCAGAGTAGAGCAGAGCAGAGCAGAGACGAGCCAAGCTGAACAGGACCCCACTTGAGCGGCTGCTCTCGAGTGTCCTGTCCTAGTGGCCTGACACATATGCGAGTCGTCGTCTGAGTGTGACATGATATGCGAGCACTTTGTAAAATGGGAAAAATGAAGGAGCAGCCAAGCAGGAAGGAAGGAACAATGTTGGCCCAGGATATGGATATTCAGGATTTACGTTCATACGGCTGCCTTACATAACTTTGGCCCGCTTCGAGTGTTAAGCGACATTTTTCTATTTACCCACACATACACACACGTTGGCCATTTTTATGGCCACCATAGACACACACATAGCCGTGCACAGAAGGGTCCTCTCTCTCTCACCATTGGCCAGCATATCAGATGGCAGAATGGGAGCGCCATAAATCCATTATTCCCATGATTTGTTATTCAATATTTTGTAAGTAGATTAACTTGCGGCGCACATTTGTTTGCCACAGAGCGCCGAAAGGCGACTGTCAGCGTGGGGTCCGTTCCAGAGGGTAAATGTGCGAATTAAGCCAGAACCCAAGGACCAAAACAGGACCTTGTCCAAACGAAAAACGTAGAAAACATAATTTACCAATCTATTTATCATATTTGCGCCCCGACGGCCACGGGTCCACCGATGCTGAGTGACCACTTAAATCACCACAAGAATAGACATTCGAATTGAATTTATGACACCAGCAAAAAAAAAAAAAACGTTGTGTGTGTATTTTTGCCCCAAGGATGTGCCATTTATGGTCCCCTGCCTTCGTCCCTTCTGTTTCTTATGGCCACTCGGCAATTTATGGCCTCTTAAGTCAGCTGCTCTAAGTTGACCAAGTGGCCGAGGCAGACAAATCTTTTTAATCCACTTGCATTAGAGTTGATTGAGAAGTTTGGTGCTCGTAGATTGCATTGCCCCCTATATACAGAGGTGGCTCTGCGGAGTGCCATAAATAAAAGCAGTCAAACAACTATTACGAATGCTATAAATGCGCACTTGAAAAACCCAATCAATCTGGGAATTAATGTTTTATCTTAAATGGATTTTTGCTTGGGGAAATTACAGAAAAGAATCAGTTACCTAAGGTAATGTATTGAGTCACATATGATTGGATTTTCCTATTAAATCTTTCATCATAATTTATTTTACTTCACCTCTTTGAATGTGCAGATCTTCTCGGTATTTATCTTCTGCACCAAAAAGTATGCTACATTCCTTAACATAAAATTCCACTCACCTCAATACGATTATCATCCAATTCCAGTTCACTCAAACTCCACAACTCCGCAAAGACAGTATCACCGATAAAGTTCAGATTGTTTTTGGTCAGTTTCAGCACATTCAGATTACCCAATCCTCGGAATATCTCACTGGTCAGCACATTTATCTGGTTGTGGGCCAAGTTAAGGTACGTCAGCCTGGCCATATCAGCAAAGAGACCCTCATGCAGTGTGCTAATGTTGTTATTATTCAGGCAAAGCTTTTCGCAGAGAGGAAGATTACGGAATGCATATCGATCCATCTCGAATATTTGATTGTGGTCCAAAATCAACTCCCTCAGACGTATGTGATTGGCAAAGGCATCTTGATCCAAAGCCATTATGTGGTTATTATTCAGGATAATCTTCTCCAAGAAGGGCAGATTGGCGAAGGCATAGCTCTTGACAATCTCCACTTGGGAGTACTCAATGACAATGCTGCTCAGGTTCTTCAGGGGTTCGATAATCATGGTGGGTATATAGTCCAATCGGGCATTGTTTTGGATCACAAACTTAAGTTCCCTTAAGCGCTTCTGCTGATAGAATCGCGTCCAGGTGGTGTCGTTCTGATGCAATCCCTCCGAGAACACCCAGCATTCCGCCTTCTGCACTGGAACATGGTTCTCATCTGGAGTACAGTAGCACATCAGTTTCATGTCTCGTCGCCGAGTGCAGAATCCAGTGCTATCCATGGGTCCACTATAGCCAACACTACCAGAATTTACGGCGTTACTGCTGGTGAACACATAGCCGGAGGAGGAGCCCGCTGTCGACGAGGAGCCGGTGTAGTAGCCATTGTTAATGTTGCTGCTGCTGGAGGAGGAGGATGACGACAGGGAGCCACTGCTGCTGCCACGCCCCCTGTTGCGACGATCATCCTTGGCGCGTCCTTCGGCGGGTGCCACCAGGCAGCCACCAATTAGCAGGAGCGAAAGGAGCAGGACGCAGATGGCATTGTCCGCCGAAGCCGCCATTTTATGGCGCTGATGATGCGGCAACATGGCGAGCTTATTCCTATCGCTCGATGGAGCGGATTCTGCAAAATAAGGAGAACAAAACAGAGTGACGTGGTCAATAAAATTGGTTTATCTTGGGGCTTTGCTTTGCAGCACTGAAAGCAAATTCAATCTAACCTAATTTTACATTGCTTGGTTGTTAAGAGAAAAAGAAATGTTCTCAAAAAGGATAAGCAAGATCCCAGCACTTGCCCGTCATAGAAAACCTACATTCACCTCTTTATTTTCTTCTTATTATTTTCTAAAATTCAAGCTTAACTCTTTCTCAAAGTGTAACTGTCATAAAAGAAAGGCTAAGGTGGAAATGACTTTAGCAAAAAATTCGATTTTCATGGTCTTGATTTTGTGTGTCAAAAATATCCTCGAAATATACTTGCCCTTAACAAATGGATTTGATTTTATGTGGCTCTGTCATAAACTCAGCCTCCCCTCTTATTTGAGGTGGCGAAAAATTGAAACTGGAATCAAAGTTGATAGCCATTCATTCGAGTTGGCTTTATTGTTCTGGGAGCTGGCGGAAAGTGCTTCATAAAAATGCTAATTAATGTTGTTAACTTTCTCACTTTTGCTCATATTTCATTTGGGCCAATTCAAGAGATTCCGTGGTGGATTCATCATCCCCCTTTTTTTTGGTCTGCCCACGATGAAAGTTGAATTGGCCCATTGCGAAGCCTCCCGCTGGCTTCATTTGACGCTCGGTTGCTTTGTCACTGGTAGCCCCCTTTTGGGTTTTCCCATTTACCCCCATAAACAAATTTATCGAGCTCATAAATAACTGCAACACTGTCGTTGATTGTTCGCTTAACGGCAACGGCAATGGCAACGGCTTCTCTGAGGCTGCTCCTGGCCTTCCCTTAATTTTGCATTTCAAGTGTCATTGGGCAAAGTGCTCTCTAATTATGCTCGTATTTTTTAATAAATTAATAAGTCACACTGACACTGGGCATATTTCGGATTCTGGCTTTTTGGCTGCTAGCTGTTAGCTTTTGGCTCTTGACTGCCTGGTTGGATGGCATAATGAAGTGTAAATAAGTTATTGTCAGTTGTCAAGTGAGTTATCGTCGTTATCGGCAGTCAGCCCAGTGATTTGCATAAAATATTGTCGCAATATCAAACAGAGGAAGAGAGAGAGGCAGAGAAAAGAGAGGGGGATTAGATGGATGGAAAGCCGAAAGTCACTTGAGTTATTGACTCGGGCATGCTTCATTACATTGATTTCGATTATAAATTTTAAATAAAACGATGATAAGTGCTGCGTAGCATGATGCGATGCTTATGCCAGCTTAGCTGGCTCTCACTCAACCCCCCTTATGCTCGCCGTTCTGGCCAAAGTTCAGGGCTCAAGGAGCATTAGAAGTGGCTCACACCGCAGGATTAAGTACTCAAAATATACATGAAAACTTTTGAGCAGCCAGACGACGGCAGCTGAAGATGACTTGATGGCTTCAATTTAAATATCAAAGCAAAGTCGAAACTAAAATGTCCTCAAAAACACAGACACACACACACACACACAGAGGGAACCACAGGATATATGGCTGGATATATATGGGAAGCTGACTGGGGAGATATTCCACATATTCTGAGAATTTTTAAGTGTGTCGTGAAGCAGCAAATCAAAAAATACACTGCATGTGTGTGTAATTAGATTTTCCCAAAAAAAAAAAAGTGGAAAAAGGAGAGGAAAATTCAGGCACACAAACACTGAAAAAAGTTAAGTTGGAATTCTTTATGAGATAAATCAGGATTAAAATGGATGAAAAGCCAGAAAAATTCCTTCATTGTCTTTACAGAAATTTGTCATTAATTTTTAATTTATAAAATATTCATTTTAAAGACATCTGTTCTTTGATATATCTTTCGCAATACCAATATACATTTTTTCTCTGCACACATGCAACAACGCGTTGCTGACAGCCAATTACTCAAAGGCCTGAATGGAGGCCAAATGGTAGAAAAGGGGTGTGGGAAAAAAGCTGAAAGAGAGCGTTACAAGCAAATGAAAAATCAATTTGTTGATTATGCATAAATCATAAGATTTATGCGACTCCTCACTCAGCATTCATGAGTCATTTATCAAACGAGCAAACTTCTCTCTTGCCTTCATGTCAGAATCACAAAAACAGAAAGCGACGAAGCGAATCGCAAATCGAAGTGGCAATGGGGGCAAAAAAGGCATCAACTGTGTGAAAGCAGGCGAGATGTTTCATTCATCTTCAGTTCAACTAAATATAATATGTACCAGCCGATAACAAAGTCTAGACCGAGTAGCTTTCTATATATATATATATATATGAAGATGACATCTTTGCAGAAGATTAAATGCAAGCTGGGTACAAATTGATCTTACTGGCTTAAGTTCTTCATCTCGGAGAGTAGGCAAACACCAGCAACGACATCGGCAACGGCAACGGCAACAGCAAACCTTGACGACAAACAATTACCAAGAAAATTATTCCCCCAGGGAAAATGGGAGCAACAGCAGCAACGTCGGTCCTTGTCAGCAGCAACATAGTACACACAGGCAAAACAGCAGCAGCCACTATAATATTGCTGGCAACAGAAACAGCAGCAGGGATAATGGGTCTGCAGCAAGCTCTTCGCTAAATTAAAGACTGAAACTTTAACAGGGACAATCACGATACTATGGTCAGTAGCAATAACAAAAAGATGAGGGCAATGTTGCCGTTCCAAGAGCAACATCAGCTAAATTGACAACCGCAACCATTAGCAGCAACATGATCAAAATGCGGTGCAGCGGCAATATTTGCCATTCTGGTAACAGTAGCAACATTGACCAGAAAAACCACTAGAGCAACTTATCCATCAGTAGCAACATTCGCTGTTCTGGTAGCAGTTGCAACATCATTGAAAGTATGAACAACAGCAGCGGCAACTTCTGGCGAAGCCAAAAAGCAACATTGGCATGTGTGCAGCTGTAACCCAAGCAACAACAGCAACATTAATTGCTCAGGTAACAGTATCAGAAGCCATTAGACCAACTTAAGCACCAGAAGCAACCTCAACTGTTCAGATAACATGAGCAATATAACCCACGACAGCAGCAACTAATGCCATAATCACAGAAGCAACAACATTACAACTTTCAGCAATACAAGCAACATGGGCAATGGTAATAGTTACTGTTGGAAAATCAGCAACATCAACGAAAGTAAGAGCAAGAACGGCGGTAACTTAAGGGAAAGACTGAGCAGCAACTGCAATAATAACATGAACAGCAGCAACATTCAGAACAACAACAGTAGCAGGGCAGAGCCAGGATACGGGCTTCTGTAATGTTTTGCCCCTCGAAATGTTGAAGGGAAAATTGCAACAAGAAGCAATTTGTCTTGTTGCTTATAATTTCGATTAAACTTTCGAAGCGAGTAACGCATATGTTTGTGTGTGTGTGTGTGTATAAATGTGTGTCTGTGTTCGGGAGTACTCGGCTGGTTGGCTGGTGTGCGTGCAAACAATGGGCCATGCAAAAGGGGAGCGAGTCCTTTGGCCGGGGGGGAAAGGCGTGTGAAAGTGTGACAGAAGTGTCGACAAAGAGCGGAGCAGCAGCAGCAACGGCAACAGCAACAACATCAACCGCAACAACAACAATGATGACGGCGACCCAGTGGGAAATTGGAGCAAAGCCGCAGCTAAGCTGACAGCCACGCAAGCAATTTTCCAGGGAGACCGGGCAAACACAACAGCCGTCCCGAGTCGAGCCACATAATATTTTCCAGCAATGGAAATTCTTGGCTTTAAAAAGGCGGCCCAACCGAAGATGGCTGAGATAGTCGACTCGACTCGTTATGGCCTTGTTTGCTGTATCGAGAAACTTTAGACAAACACACACAGATACACACTCATACAACCAGCAGCAAGTCTGAGGTTGATCAAGACAAAAGCCCAGAGTCGGGATTCTGCTATGTGGAAATTGTTTTCAATTTTCGTTATTTGACAAATGGTGACACTTCCGCTGTGGCAGCCAGGACACCAGCATCATCACCAGCCGGGCCCAGGACTTTAACAATATGTACACAGGACCCCCCTCCTTCTCACAGTACCACCGCCCACGTCTGTGTGTCATGAGGTTTTGTCAACAATAAGTTTTTATGCCGGAAGACTCGTAGTTGTTTATGGCAGTCCCCCATCAGCTGCAGCATCCTCGGGCTCAGCCGCATCATCATCATCAGCATCACTCGCAGCGGGATTGTGTGCACGGCGGAAAAAAGGATATCTATATGCGGTTCATGTAGACATATCAATTTAACTTTACTTTTTTGGATGATTTACTCCTGATAAATCTGTTTGATATTATTTTAAGCTTTATATTATGTAAAATTGAAAATTACTCTCTCTCTCTCTCTTTCTTGATTTACATAAATCATGTTGAAGAGCAGTCTTAGTTCCTATAATCTGATATAATCATTCTAGACTTACGCATAGAAATCCTCTTTACCACTTCTGATCAAATTAACCCACTAAAACAAGTTCTTTCTGATTCATTTCCTTCCGTGTAAGATTTCCCGTAACTATACGTGCGATTCCTGTTCCCATATCATGTGAATATAACTTTAAGCTGTGACATGAACGCAGCTCGGACGTGCCTGACTTTGACTGACTGACTCTGACTGACTGGTGAGGTGGGATTGGATGGAATGGAGCCACTAAGGGTTAGTCGCTTTCCATTTAGCTGAGCTGCAAATAAAACGACAGCAACAAAAAACTTGGTCAGTTGGACAAACTGCAGTTCCTGTCTTTGGGTTCTTCGTCCGCTATCTTCTCCGTCTACTGGCCAAGTCTTCTGACCCGTGAAGCCATCCCTGTTTCGTGTCTGACAAATGACGCAGAGGCAAAACGGCAGACGAAACATAGCCATCAATCAGTGGGCCAAGTTATGACGTCCGCACGTTTTATTCGCATTTTTATTAAGGCTCACAAATATCCGGATTTGTCCTTGGCTTGCGTCACTTGTCAGCGCCAGTTGGAGTCTGTTTCGATCAAATCTGTGTGGCAGGGGCAGCAATGGCAGGACGTGGCAGGAGGGGCAGGAGGCTCCTTGGCCATATATATTTATTGTCAGGCATGTCACACTTCATAAATATTTCATAAATTGCTTCGCATTTATTTTGACAGTCGCGCCAAAGTTTCGACTGCCATTTGTTAACCCTTTCAGCTGCCGCTGTTGCTATTTTTTTTTTTCTCATTCTGCTTGCTGCTTGGCCCGGTTATTGTTATTTCTGTTATCATGCGAGGCAGTCATTGCCAGCTGTCGCACATATTGTCCTTGTGGAGTGGTAGGAAGGAAAGTGGGAAGAAGAAAGAGTCACCTAACCAAATATCCACCCACCTTGCCACCTTGCCACTTCCCTATACCTATTCCTTATTGCCAAAAAGTAAAATCTGGCATTCATGTTGCAGCAGGACTCATTCTCGCACTTTTGACTACTTTTAACTTGGGGCTTCCATTTCCCAGGACCTGCTCTTCGACTTGGTTTTGTACGTTTTTTAGCTTTTAGCATACCTGTCAGCAAAATAAAATGGAAACTAGTTGCCAGAGCAAACTTTCGCCTTCGCCTCTGTTGACACATATTTCTGGGTAGAAAAAGCTGGGCTATATGCATATGCCTGCCACGCCCCCTGCGGCATTCAGACAGACAACGCCCCACTGCACTTGAGCTGCCTGGGACATTACTTTGGCCGTCACTCCCCGATTTTTTTTATTTCTAGACTTGATTCTTGGTGGCCTCTTTTCGGGCTTTACTTTAAGTTGTTCTCCCTGCCAGTGCTCCCTCCGCTACCTTCGAAGGATCCCAGGACTTTTGGAGAGTCCTAGCAACTGCTTAACGCCCAAATTGGCAGCACCTGGCCAAAAGTGTTGGCTGACTGTCCTGGCAGATAAGTAGTCGTCCGGGGCTTTTCCCTTCGCTTTTCTTTTCTTTTCTTGAGCGTGTTTTTTTTTTCTTTTCGGGTCTGTGTGTTTTGACTTTCAACGAGGAGCGAAATTATTTTCGCTGTTGCAAGTTTGTTGCAACTTTTCCCTGACGCAAAGTGAAAATTTGTCATGCTCGTTGAGCAACTCCCAGCTTTCCCCCTTCCCCCACCACCCTCTGATTATATAATAAATTCCTTCAGTTAGGCAAAAATGCTCCACAAAGACAAACACAAACATAAATACAGACTTAGCGCAGACAGACTCGTCTGTGGAAACTTTTAACTCACTTGCCAAATATTTTAGCAATTTTTGAATAAAACATTTCCAAGATTCCGGGCATCTCCAGCCAGATGACAGCAGCCCCTGCCTTTTATGGCCCTGTCATGAAGGAAATCCCCCTTTTTATCCACCTGTTTCAGCGCTTAAAAAGTGAGTTTCATAGGGGTCTCAACTTAATTAGTTGGGATTCCTGGCACTAAGGAATTTCTATCCTTTACATATGTACTACATATATATTATGCAACCCTGGAGGGCGTTTTCTTACCTTTCGATTGAGTGCTGGAAAAGGCCAAGTCACGTACAGTAACAGTCCTCGATCTGCTGACTAATGCAATGTCTCTGCAAATATATAAAGAGAGGGAAAACGAAATTAGTTTGATATTACTTATTATAATGTCATGTTTCGGTCTCGTTACAGACATGTTTTTCAACCACAAAATTATAGCGTTTTGCCGGAATTGGTATATACTTTATTCATAAGCCCCTGGGAAGGCCTCAAATGCTAATGGAAATTACATATTAAATAAATAACAGCGAGAATATTATATGAATCGAGAAATAAGCTAAATAATCTAGTCACTATTTGAAATTAGGTAAGTATATAGAAGGCGTTTTCACACCTATGAATATATATTATATTTATTGATTAATCAGATTTCTGTGGATTTATTTTTTACTTTAGAAAGTCTCTGTAGCTTGTACAGCTCCTTTAGGAAGTGATTATTTGTTTTTTCGTGTTCCTCTAACTAGCTCTTTCAGAAAACCTTGCTGACTCCACCTTTTCAGCGTTATCCATTGTACTTTTTATGGCCTATGCAATGGCCAGGTTTTTATACAACTTTATAGGCTTCAAAGATCAAAGGCTTGGCCCAGGGAAATCTAATTGCGTTAATTTTCCAGTAATTGTGGTCCGACTAAGTTCACTTCCAGCCAGGACATGCGATAACGTAAACAGGAGAAAAAGGCCGGTAACAAAGGGAAAAACTATTAACACGAAGGGGACACTATGGGTGAGGTCCTGGCCACAGGGTCACAGAGAAGGAGGAGGCACATGTGTGTGCAGAATGCGTGGATGGGTGGTCGGTCAGTGGTTGAGGGATCTGGGGGTTCATAGGTCGCGGGCGTGGATGGCGCGTTATTCAAATAGTTTCGGTCGCCTGGCCCTGCCGCTGCCACAGCCGCTGCCGAGACGATAACGACGATGACGACAGCTCTAGGCAATTCCCCGACGAGGGCGGCGCCACGCCCATATGTGTGTATGAAAATGGAAATGAAATAATTGCATTGGCTACGCCTAAAGAAGAGGCACAACGAAAAAACACTGGAACTTGCCCCCCTTTTTCCCTCAGCTTTTCCCCCGTCGATTGTTAACTGCAATCATAATCGCCTCCAACGTTGGTTGACCATTTGTGGTTTTTTGTTGTTTTTCCCATTTTCTTTTCTTTTTTTTTTTGTACTCATTGCCGTTAATTATGCCCGCATTTCTGGTTGGGCATACACTTTTTGTGTTATTTGAATATTTAATAAGATTTATGCCATTCATGCCGCTGATGCCTCCTGATGATTAAGCATTGAATAATTGCTGACGGAGGCGGAATCCACCGAAAAACAGGGCGGCGGGGAAAGTGCTTTTGTGGCGAACCGAACAATTGTCTGGACTTTGCAGGGAGGAGAAGGTGGGTGGATGGGAGGCGGGATATCGGGGCATCTAAATTTGATTGTCGGTGGAATGTCAAACAAGTTCAAACGGCGGCTGCCACTGGCAACCGACCGAAGCCAAATGAAACCCCAGAAAGCAGTTGAACAACGCTGGGAAAAATCAGGAAAATGCTATGCCCCTACCTGGGGGGAGGAAGGGGTATGAAACATATGGAAAATTGGATTCAATGACATTGATTGTTCAATTGGGCGAGGTTTTTCGGGCAGGTGAACGAGGTGCACAAACATGTTTAGGCGGTAATACGATACAGGAACATAAAGTCGATACAATTTGCTTAGATCATTAAAGGCCTTCGGGGGTTTGAGTTTCTATGGCCAAAGTTTTCACATTTATTTCTATTACCGCTTAGTTTTAGTTAGTTTTATGAACTAACAGGAGCTTAGCATATAGAATAATAAATTTATTTCCAACTTGTAAAGAAACTTTAACCCTAAAATCAACCATAAACTGCATTTAACCTAAAAACCCTTTCGAAACAGCTTCATTCTAACTAGAAGAAGAGCATCCTCCTGATTTGATTAAAATCAATTTACCAAATCGTTGCTTCACTTAAACTCCACCCACCCACACCCATAGCCAAACCCAGCATTTTATTTACCCATTTTGCCATGTGAACAATTTGCATGTGGATAATCTTGGAGAGTCGCTTTCGGAAATTGCTGCAGCGTTTCCATTTCATGTGTGAGGCAATAAAAATTTAATATAATTACGCACAATTTCCAGTTGAAGTTTATGGCAGAGACATGCCAGAGTGGGTGGGGTCTCTTTTTTTGAGAGGCAGGGAGGGAATCACATTCGCAGGACTCGACGTGACTTTTGACAGCAGTGGGGTTGGGAGAGGACCTGATGCCCTGGCAGCTCGCTTGCTAGGGACTTTATGAGCCGCCGCCTCGCCAAGACAAACATAAACACTTGTGCTTCAAAGGGAGCCCCCCAAGAGGGGGCGTAACGACAGGTCAGGGGTCATGGGGGCGTGGCAGGACTGCAGCTGATTTCATAAAGTGTAACAAGCCAAAGCTTTGAGCTCAACTGCTGCGACAAATAAGCGACAGCGTAGCCCCCAAGCTCTCGCAGGAGAAAAGTTTCCGAGTACCAAAGGATATTGGCGTGTGTGTGTGTGTGTGTGTAGGTGTATGTTGTGGCAGCCTCCCTACACATACACAGCTGGCTCGCACACAGTTGCAAATACAGGACACGAAGGAGACACCGCTGCGAGTGCCTGCGAGTTAAATATTTGCCTCGCTTGTTTACATCCAAGACCCCAAAAGCAAAGTTGCCACACGACTCCCGTTCCTGGGTGTGCCATCTCCCTTTCCTCCTCCTCTACCATGTCCTTGAAGTCCTCCAGTCCTCATTTGCCCTTGGCAAGTTGTTATTTCTTAATATTGAGAGCTGCGGATGATAGGCGGCCTGATAGGGAGTAGCGAGTAGAAAAAACAGCTGCAGGCGGAGAGCGGCTGGCATTTTCTAACCAAAAAGATACAATTTTTGTATCTTCACTTTATGTGCTGTTTAGTTTTACATTTTAAACTTATTTAATCAATCATTTATGTTTTTAAAGTCATGACAGTTAAGTATATTTCCCCATAAAATCAACATTCTAATTCGTATCTCCTATAATGACAAGGCTAATAAATTTAGTTTTTGATTAATTAGGCAGAAACTAAAATGTTATTGGTTATAATTTAATACTTTCACTCTAAAAAATAGTATACTAATGACCCATTTAGTGATAATTATAATGTTTAATGGAACTAATTGCTAAGCTATAACCTCTTTTTATATTTTTAAAAACATTTTTGTTGGCTGGCAGTTTGAATTTCTCCTGTAAAACTTTACACTTTTTAGTAAAATTCAAAAATCTTAAAGTTCAGCAGGAACGCCTTCTTGTAACACCCCCACCCACCACTGAGAGCGAGAAAAAACAACACCCACTCCTGCTAATGTAATTGGGTAATAAAGCTGCTTGGCCGTGTGTCGAGCAGCACCTGTTCCGTTAGCGTTACCGTTACCGTTACCGCTGCCGTTACCAACTATATAAACATTAGTGACAAAAATTAATTAGGTTGACACAACAGCGAAAGCGTTAGCAACAGGACGAATAACACACACACACACACATACTTATTTTCTGGCCACGTTGACGTTCGACGCGGCCATGGCCATGCTAAATGGTCATAATCAACTTCCGTTATGTCCGCACCCACTGGCACGCCCCCCGCCTACTTGAAAAGCAGCCCGCCCTTATGGCCAACGAAATGTGCTCATTTACAACAAATAAACAGGGATATAAAAACCATGAAACTGATTTTTCACGCCATTTTCATTTACATTTTTGCGGTTTATTTTTTGTTTTTGGCCCATTCCCCCGGTCTGTTCTGTTTGCTCTGCCTTGCCTTGACGCCGAGCAGCGCTGCAGCTGAGCAGCGGCAGCAAACGCATGTGTAATTAAAATATAATAATTTCCCCGAATACCGCAACAAGCAAATAAACAAACAAAAGAACGAAACCAAACGAAAGCAAGAGCACAAGGCAGCGAAATCGAAAACAAAAGAAAGCAGAGCATGCGAAAAAAATATGGAAAAACTGAAAGCGGAAAAGTGAACTTTCAGATGCTCTATAGTTTGGATAAGGTATATAGTTGAAAAACAAAGATTGCTAAACCATTTAGAACTCTGTAAAGTTGATTAGAAATCCTAACAAGAAAGATATATCACTTTATGATCATATAATCATATTTTTATCATTTCATAGACATTGCAATCCATCCACGAAAAGATCTCCCAAAAGAACACAGAACTACCCCATGCTAGAGTATAATACATAACTGTAGACACAGTATTTATGACGAAAGTTTCGAGTGGGCTGGGGCTGGGGGAGAAAGCAGAGCCAGATTGTCTCTCTGAGCGGTGAAAGAGGGGGAGTTGGCAAAAGTAGGCAAAGTGGGTGGGTGCTGTAGGTGAAGGACAGGGCCATCTGCCAATGATTATGATGATGGCAATCCTGCACGCACAAAAACCTGCACAGGTGAGCTCTATACATTCGCCACGAGTCCTTCACCTTTTTTGGAATCACCGTGAATCATCCTCCTCCTCACCATTTTCCTTATTTTCCATACCTCCCACGCTCCCCCCACCACTATGGTTTCGCCTTGTTTTGTGCACATTTGTTACGCTCAATAAATGAAAATGTTCATATAAATATTTCATATTCCTTTTGCTGGGTAGCTGGATGGCAGGGCACTTCAGCATGTGCCACGCCCAGCCCACGCAAAAGCAGTTTCCGCCCATTAAATTGACATACGCGCATTCGTATTCATTTCCTTATTTCGGTAGCCCTCGGCATTTCTTCACTTTTTATTGCCTCGCCCTGTTTGCACAAGTTTTGTAATATTTTCGGTTTATGTTTACAGTTGGCAAACGCATTAAAATCACAGATTTACATTTTTTCTCCTTCGCTTTTCCGGCTTGAATAATTTAGTGTCGCCGTCGTCCTCGTTGTCGTTGTTGTTGTTGTTGTTGTCGATGTCGCATTATTGAATTTGCATGAGGAGCTTGGAAGAGTGGGTGGTGGGTGAGCATTCAAGGGTGTGGAAGGTCCTGTGAGCTTATTGTTTCAA